TTGATAATATTATAACATTTATATTACCATTAGTTTATATTAAATTCTATTATATATATATTATAATATTTAAATAATTTATTATACTATTTATAATTATATAATATTATTTAATAATATTTTATTTACAAAAAAAATTATTTTGCATGTGTGAATTAGCATAAATACTTGATCTGAAGTAATTATTTTTGTTTTCTTCCTCTTCTATAAAAAAAAAAAAAAAGAAAAAAAGAAAAACTGTATACTTTTATTTGTTAAATAATTTCCTAATCGAAAAGAAAGAAACGCGCAAATAAATAAATAGAAATAAAAAGAAATTATTTAAATGCGCGAATGCAATTTCTAAAAAAAAAAAAAAAAACAACAAAGTATGCTTTTCTTATAATAAACTAATTAAAAAGTATTTGATATTTTAATAATTTACATAAATTATTTGCACGTGGAAAAGGAAATGAATTCCTGGTATTGGTCAATATATTTCAAATTCTAAGAATCAATTTTTCTTTTCCTTATAATTGCAAGTGTTTTCTTTTTTACCTTTTAGCCGATTTTTTTCGCAAATAATCGCATTTTTCCCTTCCAAGTGTTCCAAAAAAGTGAAAAATTGAAATTTCGAAAAACCCTCCCAGTGTTATCTGGGGAAAGCTATTATCTAACGAATGAACTTTGATTTTTTGATTTCAGATGATCCAGCACCAAGTTATGAGGGGGGGGGGGAGAGCACCGCAATTCTACTTTTTTCCTAAGACACGTCCGAATAATTGCTGCCATTGTCGTATTTTTTAATATTTCTTCGTGCAAATTTTATACAATATTCTTCGAATGTCATACTTTAATGTACCATTGGTTTTAATAAAAAGATTTTAACTGTGTCGTCACAAAAAATTCACAAAAACCTACCTTTTTTTGTACGAATTAATCTTAACCCTCCCCCCCCCCATTAATATTTTTTACCTAATTTATACATACGTGTAAATTAATAAAAAAAAAAAAAAAAAGAGAAGGAAATTATCTATGCTCATAAATAAAAATATGTATGAAATATTATTTGGAATTAATTAACACGCCAAATTAGAAAAAAAAAAAATAACAAAAATAGTTTTCTAATATTACTTCTAATCCAAAGGACAAAACGACGTTTTGTTAGAATCAGTACACACCCAGAGACCAACCACATTTATAAAATACAAACATAAAATACTCACACCCACATACACATATTACATATTGAATCGATTTCAAGAGAGTTTACCAGCTATAGAATAACCAGTCGTTACGAGAGAAGAAACTTTGAAAGTTAAACTAGCAACATTATAAGTCTAAAAGCGAATGAACGTCGTGCAACGAAATTCAATCTTCGAAATTCGATTTCATCTTTCCCAACACGACAGCATAGAATTCTCCTTAGAAAACGAGAGAGAAAAAGAATTCGAAGATGATGGGTGACATTTGTCGAGAGACATGGTGGGGGGTTTTTTTCCTTAAACTTTTTTTTCTTTTTTTTTTTCCAAAATAATTTATATTAACCTGACACAAGCAACCTTACTCGTCAACAAATTCTTTGAAAAAAAAAAAAAACATCGAATTTACATTTCACGTAAAATCACACGACGCGTAAATAACTCGTGGTGTAATAAAAAAAAAAAAAAAAAAAATTGAAATGCCTCCCATGTTTCAAAGAAATTACAACGAAATTCGTTGTAAACAAAAAAGAAATGAAATAAAAAACAATTTCATTGGCAGATTTCTATGATCTTTGGATTAATTTCCATTGATTCGTTTTACAAAAAAATAAAATAAAAACAATTTCATTGGCATATTTTTACGATTCCATTGGTTAACTACCATTGATTCGTTCTACAAAAAAATAAAATAATAAACAATTTCATTGGCATATTTTTACGATTCCATTGGTTAACTACCATTGATTCGTTTTACAAAAAAAAAAAAAATGAAAACAAATTCATTGACACATTTCTAAGATCTTTGGATTAACTTCCATTGATTCGTTTAGAAAAAAAAATAAAAGTAAAAATAAAATAAAATAAAAAAAAAACAACTTTTGTTAATGTATGTCAAAGATAAAAATGTTCATGTTTGAGTATATGGCAAGTTTGTGTGTCCTCTCACCCCTTTTATCCTTTCATCCTTCCACTCTCTTTCTGTTTCTGTTTCTATCTAACATTCAATTCATTCTCTTTCCTCGTATCTTCCTCTATGTCTTCTTTTCTTTTTTTTTTTGTCTCTACCATAGTTCGAATACATCAAAGGATTCCAATCGTGACACGTTGTGGTGTTATATAAAAAACAAACGTGTGTACAATATAGTCAAGGTAAGAAAAACCATTGAAATTGTTCAAATTATTAATAATTTGTTTAATCTAACTTTATACTTTTTCCTCAAACAAATCAGTCAAAGAAGATTATTGAAATTACCATAATTTAACATTTGACGGTAATACTTTTCCAAACAAAATAAAACAATTATAATTAAACGATATCATTTGTGTAATTATTGTGCGCATCGTTTAGAAATACCTTTTTGCATTTTTCTTCTTTAGAATTTGTTGAAAGAATAAAAGGGAAGAGAAGAGAAAGGAGAATAAAAGGGAAGAGAAGAGAAAGGAGAATAAAAGGATGTTAATTTTCATATTAATAATTAAATAATTATAATTAAATGATATCATTTGATTACTTATTGCATCGTTTGGAAATTACTTTTTCCTTCTTTAGGATTAGTTGAGAAAATAAAGATAGGAGAGAAAGGGGAATATAAAGGGCTTTGTTAATTATAAAATAATATTATATATTAAATGAGTAATAATAATAAAATATTAAATAAATAAAATTATATATTATATATTATTAATTAAATAATTATAATATTAAATATCATTTGATTAATTATTTTGCATCAAATAAAAACACCTTCTTGCATTTTCCTTTTTTTTAGGATGTGTTGAAAAAATAAAAGGAAAGAGAGAAAGGGGAAATGCAAAGGGCGTTGTTAATTATAAAATAATATTATATATTAAATAAATAAATAATAATAAAATATTAAATAAATTAAATTATATATTATATATTATTAACTAAATAATTAGAATTAATAGAAACCAATATCACTTAACTAAATTATTGTGCACCATTTAGAAACCACCTTTGTGCATTTTCCTTTCTTATATGATTTTTAAAAAAAATAAAAGCTGGAGAGAAGGAGCAAAATCGAAGGGTGTTAATTATTATATATTAATAATTAAATAATTGTAATTTTAAACGATATCATTTAATTACATATTTTGCATCATTCAGAAATACCTTCTTGCATTTTGCTTCTTTAGGATTCTTTGAGAAAATAAAAAGGTAAGGGAGGAGGGTGAATGGTAAGGGTGTAATTTTTAAAAAGGTATTACGGTGAAAAAAAATGTTTTTAATGAACCGAACAAAAAAATGGAGAACTCGAGTCGAGTAATGCAGCACATCTAACGAGATAAGAGTGTTCTCTCTCTCTCTCTCTCTTTCTCTCTTTCTCTTTCTCTCTCGTGTATTCGCCATTGATCTGTACAAGATGAGTCATTCGTGTTACAGAGTTCTTTAGTTCTTTATTTAATTTTCTCTTTCTATCTTTCAGAGTTCTGTAAAAAAATACGTCAGATGGATAGAGAAAGAGAAAGAGAGAGAGAGAGAGAGAGAGAGAGAGAGATAGAGAGAGAAAGAGAGAAAGAGAAAACATCATGCACGTTACTTACAAAGAACAATTCTTCTCGCAATTAGCGCGTTACGTTTAACCTCGTGATGTGAAAGAGATAAATCGACTGCAAAGTCGAAACTATTATTTCGTATTGAAAACACACGACTTTAAGGAAAATTTAATATTTATGTTTATATATATATATATATATATATATATATATATATATATTACGAAGAGTAGGTTATTATTACGAAGAGAAACGTAAACAACCGAGATAAGTAGGTACATGTCTTTCCCAAAAGAATATTTATTTCCTGTTTTTATTATTTTGTTTCTTCCTTTTTCTACGTTCCTGTGTATAACTTAATTAATATTTCTTCCTTTATATTTTATTTTCCTGTTTTTTTTTTTCATTTTTAAATAAAAATGTTTATAAATGCACGAAACATCAGGTAGGTACGTCTCGTATAAAAATTCTACTCCGTTTAAATTTTATTATAAAATAATTTAATTTTTATAATTGATGGATTTATATAATTGAATTTTCTAATCGATTGAAAAAAATATTATTGGTGGGGGTGGGGGTGGGAGGGATCTTTACATAATATTACGTCGTCCCAAAAATTTCTTCCTTTTTTTAATGATAAGTTGAACAATATTGTATGCGTAATATATTTTTTGTTTATTTGTATTTTATATTATTTTACTAAAAAAAAAACAAAATATCCATTCTATTTTATTTTACCTTTTACTATACTACAATATTTATTGATATTATTTTATTTACTATACTTTATTAAATTATTCAACGTAAAAAATATTATTCCTGTAAAATTACCAAAAAGTAAGAAACTTTTGGGGGCAATCTAATATTATTCAACATGTTCATTACTGAACAATATTGTATGCGTGATTCATTTTTTGATAATAAGTTGATTACAATATTGTAATATTTTTTTGATGTTATTTTTACTAAAAAAAAAAAAATATCCATTCTATTTTATTTTAACTTTTACTATACTTTAAATTATTCAACATAAGAAAATATTATTCCTGTAAAATTACCATAAAAAATATTATTCGATGAAATATCATAAAAACTAAAATTTTCATGAATACAAAACAAAAGCAAATAAACTTTAACTAAATTAATTTAACTAACTTAAAACAGTTAGAGAGTTAATAAATAAAAAAAAAAAAAAAAAAAAGAAAAATAAGAGAGACAGAGAGAAGAGAAGAAAAGAAGAAAATAAAATAAAAACAATCTAAAGGATCAAAATGTATCTTTTTTTGTGTGTGTTCATACCGTTATCACGAAGATGAATCCTTGAAGATCCAGGAGGATAATCCCTAAGCGGACAATAGAAAAGAAGATCCTTTTGAGTTTAGCTGATGAAAAACCTTCAAGGTATTTACTCGTAGTGTGAAGAACGAACCGATCGATATCTCAACAAACTTTCTTCTTCCTCTTCTTCTTCTTCTTCTTCTTCTTCTTCTTCTTCTTCTTCTTCTTCTTCTTCTTCTTCTTCT